CATTTCTTAATATACCACTAAAGCTTTATTCTTCCAACTACTAGTTGAAGAATCTAAATGTTTTAGGGCCTTAGTTATAGTTATTTAAACACAACATAATCACATTATGGCCTAAGATGGAGGTAGACAGATATTTTTGGATAAGGGTCGCGTACCTCACCATAATCTCATCGCTAGAAAAACTTATCCAATCTACTAAAAGTAAAATTGTCACAAAAGCTACACCAAGTAAAGCTGCCACCCACCAAATGGATGTCTATGAATTTCGATTCTTTAATAAAATCACTAAAGTGTCACATAGACCTATCCATACTGACACAATTAGTTCTCTCTTTTATACCTTTGATGACATTGAAATCCCCACTAATGCACCAAATCATATCCCATGCACTAATACCGTTGAGCAACTCTTCCCAAAAGGCTTGCCTTTCACCCACATCGTTTTGGGCATAGATGTTACCAATTCCAACGTATTATTAAGCCTTTAGATTTTCCCTTTCATGAGAACAAATCTCCTACTACTAACAGACTGATCAAGAGTGAAACAATTGTTATTCTAATAACTAATGAGGCTACCCAAAGCACCTGAAAATTCAAATGCAAGCCATAGATGGAAACGAAGGTTTTCAATCTTAATACAGGCTAGCTTAATATAGTGCTCTATTATGAGATTATATGAGGTGATGGTGATGAACAAGTGAAAAAAAGTGCCATGGAAATCCTTGATGATGATGTTCATCTACTTCATTTTAAAAAGTGATAAAGGCTTTGAGCTTTCTAGTTAACTATATCAAGACTGGTATGCCTTCTTAACCTACCTGGTTTGAATGAGTTTGGGACAGAAAACTTCCCTCATGGTGACAATGGCACTCTTTCCAACCCATTCGATATCTTTTCTAGGAATCTCTACTTGAAGTTCAATCACTTTTTTCTTTTGTCGAATGTCAACCTCAACTGGCAGCTTAAGTGCCTACAATTGGGTAAGATATCTTTGCCAACATCTGTGAATGCCTCCTTGTAAAACATCTTACTCTTCCTTGCATTTTTGGGCCTATCGTTAGCTTTTCATTTCACAATTTTTGCAGAGATGGCTTTGTTAGCGATGATCTGTTACTTTTCTAGGGTTCTCTCGTTCACTAAAGCTATGCTTTTTCTCATTTCATCAAGATGCCGATAGCAAATGAAGGCAAATAAAGGCTTGTTGGACCATTTAAAAGCCTTTGATCTCCATAAGAAAGTATCAACAACCACACCGTAATCTTGAAAGGCTTCTCTCAATTGCTGCCATGTTGTCTTAGGACTAAGATTGCTAATGTAGATCAAGAAAAGACCGTTCTTTCAATAGTTGATTGATTCCCTGAAATTACGACTATCCCCTAGTCAGGTTGTCGATTTTCATCTCATGGTTTCAGCTTTTCAATATCGACCTCTTACAAGTATTATTTTTATTACAATAAATAAAAATTATAAAGAAGAAACTTACAATTGTATTAAGAATACAAATGGAAAAAATACAAACATATCCACTAGCATCATCTTTTCCTAATGCATCCTAATTATTAGAAAAGCCCACCAACTCCTTTGATGATGATTCAGAGTGGACAACTGATCGCATCACACAATTGAAGATGCTAGACTCCAAGTTCATTAAATGGTTCTTCAAACAATTCATATTTTCTTTCAGTGCCTCGTATGCCTTGGGACTTTATGGAGGATTGGTGTCTAACCTAGTAATTAGCATGAGCCTTCCACTCCATTGCTCATGTTTATTGTATTAGTAAGACCACCTCCTTAATCGGTTGAGAATCTTTAGCTTGTTAGGTATTCTATCTCTAAATCTGCTTTATCAAATATGATTAACATATTAAATATGTTAATCATATTTGATAAGGAAGCTTCAAAGATAGAATACCCAATGTCGATGATCATCGGTCAACTGAGGCCATCTTACATGCTAATGCTATATGACAATAGATGGAATGAAATTGAGAAATTATGAAAATATCTTCTAAATCATGAAAAGCACAACCAAGAGTGTTGAAGAATTTAGAAAATATTTCAACACTAAAGAATATTTATAAAAATAAAAAAAAAGAAATAGAAAAAGATTTAGCCTAAACATTTTTTTCATACAATATTAAAATCCAACAAATCTCTTCAAGGATATAAGTGTTATTTTTAATTTTCTTGAAGTTAGGTAGCTTTTTTAATTTTCGTCAAAGTGTTAGGAAAACTTTAAAAAAGTTTCTAATATTTTTAAGAAAAGCATAGAAATAAAATAAAAATAAAAATAAATAAGGGAAATAACATTAAATATGAGGTTAAAGCTTTTTATTATTATTATTATTTGAAACTTAGACATCAGCTTTCATTAACAAAAAGGAGAAATAAGCCCCTTCTATAAGAATACAAAAAGGAGTCCTTCTGGACACAACTCAAACAACCCATGCTGAATATAAAACCAAAAACATAAAAAAAGAAAAAATCTCAAAGCACACGCACCTTATACAAGAATCTACCCCTGAACTGAGGTTAAAGTTCATTTATTAAGGTTACAAATAAAATAACACTTACTAAATTGATATCAATCTTTGAATGGACGCTTGAGTGTTAATATTTTCTCTATGCATAATCGTACTCCTAAATTTAAATCAATTTCGTAAGTCGAAATCTATTAATTTTTATGAATCTAAGTCAAGCATAAAATCTCATTATGAAAAATAGATTCAACTATGTAGTTAACCACACGTAAACAAAAAATATTAGTGGTGATTTCTCTTTTACTTTGAGTGATCAAGTTCTCAAAACTTGCACATTATGGCACAAGTTAATCAAGATCAGGGTTAATCCGTAAAGCTAATTTTATAAGAAATGTGACATAATCAACCCTCACAATGGGCAAATAATATGAGGTGTTTTCAATTGGCTGGACTCTCAAAAGTTTCCAAAGGAGTCACCAAGCTATCATAATGTGCAAGCTTGAAAACTGAAAACTTGCTGAATAGAGTCACCACCAATCTTTTTGTCATGGTATTTTCATTTAGTTGAATTTATCTTTTTTAATGAAATCTTAAACTTAACTTAAATTCATTAATTAAGAGAGCTAGGTTTTGGTCAACAAAATAGAATCAGAGTTTGGGAATATATATGGTTACATGAAGGTATTAACACCATCTAACACTCATTCAAAAATCAGTAGCAATTAATCATCTATGATCCTATTTTAACCTTGATAAGATAGTCTTTAATTTCATATTTGATTTAATTTCTCTGAATTCTTTTTTTTTTCTCTATTTTCCCTGAATGTAATACATGCTATTTTCTCGAATTTCTAATATTCATATTAAGAATTTTCTCCCTAAATCTCTTACATTACAATAACCATTCTAAGAAATGACTAAACAAAAAAAAAAA